GTAAATTTGGGTTAAGGAATGGTGTACAAACATAATTCAATTGATTAAAATTACCAGCCTTATTTCATTAGGAATTCCATCAGCGTTGTCTACAAGACAGCATGTCATTTACCACCGTACCAAATGAATATAAATGCTGTATCTTATACAAAATTAGGCAGGAAAATGAATACAAATGGTTTGTGGAATATGAGATGAGATGAAAATTGGAATTATGATCATCACACTAGCAAGCTTTCAGCAAAACTTCCGGTTGCTTTTACGGTAATTATATAATTTGTCTGGTGGACAGATGGAGTATTCCAGTTTTGGTAATTCGATTGGGTTTGAATTTGAAATTGTTGATGTAGCTTACAGTGGTTCAACTTGGTAAGATATGATACCGTCGGTGGCCATTGCTTACTTACATATTGTGTCAAATATCTAGTCTTCGACCACTGAAGGTTTAAATCGCATTATCCTTATTATATAAAACAGCTCTTAAGAAGTGTGATTTGACAGTGATACCTGGTGTTTCTGTTTAATGTGCGTCTCATTGCATATGAAAAAAAAGGTTCCTTTTTAGTCAAAAATGCAACTCATTTTCACTAGTAGAGTATATGTATTTAATGGTAAAATAACAATTTTGAATAATTGTGAAATATCAGAAAAAACCTTAATTTAGTGAAATGGCGGCAGATGTTGTTTTGTATCGTAACCTTGTCTTCTAAAATGTATATATGTTTCGCTTTCCTATTTGTTATCCAAGCGACACACCAAAATAAGCAAATACATCAATATAACTCAATCTCGGTATACTTCCTGATCGAGAATTGAAAGAATCGTCCAGGAAATAAAATTTAATTTGAGAGTTTAAAAGAGTGTCATTGAGACCTCATTCTCTTCTCAAGATGTAGGTTAATAGACTCAAAATCATACATCCTGTAATATTGCTATGCTTGTAAGTTTTTGACCGATAAATTGAAGTATTGTTTCTTATTCGAAATATAAATGAACTAAAATCTCACTTTGACAAACCGAGAGGCAGGAAAATGTTGGTCAGCAAGATTTCTTCAATTCAAAATCTGCATTCGCATAAATCGAAGTATCAATAGAATTTATTTTAACCTAAATTGACTAAAGAAAACTGCCAACCTGTTAGATGGTCACGATGGTTTGTAAGTAGTCCACATTGTTCGTTATAATTTGTGAAATCGTATTGTGGAAAATAGTAAAATAGGACTCCAGGCACATATGTATATATTCTAAGATAAAGCTTTTGAACATTGAAAATTCTGTTGACTATTATTCTATTTATTTAGAACTTTGATGTTGAAATGGACAGACTGTGAGTTGTTATTTATAGGGAATGAAATGAAAATAAAGACATTCCGTGTGTGGTTATGTCTGAACTTTGAAATTCTTATTTACTTTTATAGATATAATGTATCTTTTAATTTCGACTTTATAGAACTCCAAACCATTTATACTTGTCTCACAAACAGAATGTTTATTTCACCATAAATATTATGAAGCTATAATTATAGACTACATTTTAATGACGGATGTTGCGCCTGAACGGTTATGCTTACTTTTCTAGACAACTGATACCATTTTTCATTATGAAATATTTACTCACTTATGATATATTCACTTGATATACTTCTCATAGGAAAAGTTCATTAGCTGCGACCATTGCATTGCACATTATGATGTTTCGGGCACCCTTACATCATTTTCGACACGACTACAATTTTAACAGGAATCGGCCCAAAAAATAGTTTTTTTTCACACTCACAACTGTCACTTGCACGAATTTAGTTGGCAACTATGTGTGTTCGTCTCCGATACAACCCCAGCTATAATGACCCAATGTAATCTCAAATATTGGAAATGCTATAGGCTGATGAGTTTTATTCAATCTTAGCATAAAAAGATGGTATATGCATAATACCTTAATCATAAATGAAAGTCGGGTTTGATCTTTCCCCTAATATTCGAATATTAAGGGTCATTCACAAAGCTATACGCTATGTACGCAGGCATATGATAAAAAAACTATCTTCTTCATTAAAATTATAATTATACAGATCATGGAGATTTTAGGAAATTGTCAGAATTATCAATTCGTTCGTTTTCTTATCTTGTGACACACAAAATGAAATGTATTTTGTAATTGTCCTCTCTATAACTTCTGTGATAAAGTAAATAAATTTGCATGTATTTAGTCCATTACATCGTGCGATAGAGACTTTGAATATTATTTATCTGCATGTAATAGCCTATTCATTTTGAAAATGGGCCAACCTTTGAGTTTTACTAACCATCGTCATAGGGCATACGTAAAATGGTATCAAAATTTGCTGAAACAGTGTTTCAGTCTTTTTCTAATACGTCAAAAACATTTTCCCGTTCAGAAATTGTCGCATTCTAACTAGATCAAAGCTCACCAGATGAAAAGGCCAATGTGAAAATTGATATGGTTTATGAAATTATGAGTTATATGTTCAGCCTGACAGGTTAATAAACTAAAAAATTCGATTCAAAGAACTGACACTTTTCTGATTGTCCATATTTTCATGTAAGAATTTTCATTCATTTCATTTTAACTTATCTTTTTAAACACCGTGTTTAGAAGTGATAACGAAATCATAACACAATAGAATTTTCTGAAAGAACTCCTATTCACCTCCTTTATTGAATAATATATATACATGATACGTCTATTGAGAAAAGGATTTGTTATCTGTCCATTCCTCAAGCTATTTCCAGATATATTTCGCATGAATCGATGGGGTTACAATGAGCATCAATTCACCTCTACGAGATTCGTGTCTTTTGATTACACATGGTAACCCTTGAGATAAACATATGGTAACACTTTGAGATAACACATGGTAACACTTTGAGATAACACATGGTAACACTTTGAGATAAACGGATGATAACATTTAAGATAAACGCATGGTAACCCTTTGAGATAACACATGGTAACCCTTTGAGATAACACATGGTAACCCTTTGAGATAAACGGATGATAACCCTTAGAGATAAACACATGGTAACCCTTGGGATAAACACATGGCAATCCTTTTGACTGATAAGTTACATAAACGCAATTATCTTTAGAGAGGTGCCCATCATTCTAGTATTTTTCATTCAATGTGTATTTCCTCTCTTTTTCAGTAAAATAGAAGACCAATTTAATCTGAAGGAAATAGATGTAGAAGATTTGAAGAAGTATCGAAACTTAAAAACATTGTAAGTCTAATTGAATCTTGGCTATAATCGTAATGATGACCACAATTTCAATGAGTTTGAAGCAAAAAATGAAAATTGATGGATCCTGTGGCAAATTGAACAAAATTAACTGTTAAAATAATTGTTTTATAATTACATATTTATGATAGCGATACAATTGTTAAAACACGTTTTACTGGACACGTGTTTTCGGTTTGGTTTTGTTTTTACATTTACTAAAACTTTCTTATTTAAATATGTGGAATTTTCAAGGCTTCACCAACAATGATGGAAATGATGTATAAGTATGTACATTTATTGGTCTTATTATAACAGAAGGGGATCTAATAAATGCTACTATTATCAGGGCTCTACAATTACTAGTCGAAAATTGGTCGACTTTTTCCTCAAATTGCCTTCATTTTACCTTCAGGATAATAATCAATAATGGAATTGAATCTATCTCTCGAAAGCTCCTTGATCTACCTCTCAACCGCTTGTAAGTATCATCATAAATATTTCAGCTTTTTTTTTATTTCTCAAGCGTGCAGGCGTTGATTTTATTAAACAGGGGATCTTATTATTTATTATCTTTATCTATTACGTGTAACGTCAGGTTTTTGTTATTTGTGCAATTCATAATAAGAACACAAGGGAATACAGAATTTATTTAACATAAGTTTTTTTTTTATGTACTTTTCTATTTTTCTCAATATACACATGGGTTACTTCAAATAAAAACGAAGAAAAAAGATGCAACATTGCCGAACTATTACGACCATCTAGTTGCTTTCTCTAAATTAAATGTTTTAATATTTTATTAATTTTTGGTATTCTTCGCTGACTATTGCTATTGCACTAACAACAGCCATTATCAGTCAAGGTGAAGCATGAATACGCCCTTTTTTCGAATCCGGGGCAAACTCTTTTTAAATGATATGAAATTTTGTTTTACCTTTTACAGCCTAATGCTTATATGAGTGGGTCTCGGTTTACCTTGGCGCTAGCATCACTGTCGACAGCCACAGCAGAGTTTCGCCCCAACCGGGAGGTTCGCTTGAAGTCGACTATCCGACAGACAAGAATCACATGAATTGCATTTACTTATACATCTTTAGACTACGAAAAAATCATTGTTTACTAGAACTAGTGAGAGTCAAAACTTAATAACATACTTGTGGCTCTATTCTACCTCATATGACTGCTATTAAATACACTTCACTGCATTTATTTCTAAAAGCTATTATTATTGTTTGACAATAATGGATGGAGCGTCGGAAGATTGTTATTTAATGTTTAAATATCATTAAACCTTCGAACCTTTGGATAATATTTAACAATATAATAGTCTCTTGAAAACGAGAAGTCATGGAATTGTATTTTTGTTTTATCTGGACATCCATCAAATTGATATAAACTAAGAAATGTGTATAGACAGTTTCTTCTTGGATATAGGGCTAATCACTTGTTGATAGAAGTAGATGCCGTTTGATCACTGAAAACTGCCCAATTTCTCTCCAAAGCACATTTCTCTGTAGCTATAATTAAGCATTCGTGTGAACGTGGCAAAGACAACGGACTACTAAATCAGTTCTCAAGCAATTTTTGACATTTTATTTCCTCATTTATGATTGATATACTTCTTCATATATGAAAAAGTTCATTAGCTGCAGCCAATGTGTTGTCAGTATGTTGTTTTGGATATCGGGTTTCTTTATGTGATTCGGATACCATTGTTTTGATTTTAGTTCTTTTACTTTCATTTTCACTATTTCAGGAAGTTAAGAGGTAACAAATTGCAATGTAACTGTGGTGTAAAATGGTTACGACTCATGATAGATAGATCATCCAGTATTTTACAGACTACTAATATCAAATGTATAGAAACGTCAACTGGTCAGACAGTATCATTAACATCTGTCAAATTCGATGACTGCTGTAAGTAAATTCCTAATTGTTTGAAAATAATAGTTTGCATGATTAACACAAGACGGTTCCAATCGAGTAATCGACAGAACTTTGTTGAGCGAGCCACTGACTGTTTGTGCCATCCCAGTTCGTACTACACACTGAAACGCATTCAAGTTTTAGCTTGTAAAAACTTTAGTAGGACCAATTCTTGACGAATTTGGATGAATGCTTGATTATCACCCAAATGTAAAACCATTGAAAACATCTCAAAATATTTGATCTGGGTTATTGCTCGTGTTCTTCAAAACGTGTCAAATATCAGCTGCAGATGAAGTATATATTATTCTGAAGACATCAACTAGTACAGTAAAGCGTGAATTGTTTGATTTTTATCGCAGATATTCCGGAAGTCGAGATAGAGAAGGACAAATATACAGTGAATGAAGGTGATGATTTGACAGTTGAGTGTAAAGTATATGGTGCACCACTACCAGCTGCTAGCTGGAACACCACGGAACTTCAGTCCATGTCGTCATTTAATAATACAGCTAATGGTGCTCTGTTAAAAATATTAGATATTTCTGTTGAAGATCATGGGGATCCAATTCCTTGTAGCGGTGAAAATATTGTGGCCGAAGTTTCCAAAAGCTTCGTGTTACTTGTCAATCGTAAGTTTATTACCAAGTGATCATTTTCTTACAATCTTGAGAACATTGCAAAAGGTAAAAAAATCTCGTATTATCATCATATTATATCTTAGCATCTGAGTTAGCTTTAAAAAGGCTCTCGGACAATTATCGAAAATAACTATTTGAACCTAGTTTTAATATAGTGTTTTAATAGTTAGACGAATCTATTTCCTAATATCAACGATATAACTCGAGTTAGTCTCGTTCCAGATGCTCCAGTAATAAAGAGGTTAGAACATATTTCTGACTGTTTTGATCACAGGTGTTTACTATTTGAGGCACATGGATGGCCTGAACCCCAGATTCAATGGTTACATAATGGTAATCCGGTAAAGACAAGACAGCAGATAAGGAGCGATATTAGTAAAGAAGATTATGGAGTTATTAAAGGAATGCTTAAATTCAAGATGTTTAATCCAACACAATTTGGCCTGTACACATTAGTGGTATCAAATAAATACGGATCCACTAAACAAGACGTGAATTATGGATCGAAAAATGCTGGTACAGACGTGCGCTCTCCTCAACTACCAGAGCCAAAATTTGGCCTTGATGGAAGAAATCCCCCACCAAATTCTAAAAAAGTGTGCAGTAAGTTTCCATTTCGGTTTCTATATCCCCGAAATACAGCAATCAAAACGTTTGACATTCAAATCTGAACACTGAAATGTGTGGAATCATACAGGACACCTTTGAAAATAACGTAGATTACTGGAGAATTGAATCAATTTCATTCGTCGACATCGTTTGATGATAATTAACTAACTAACAGACTTAACTTCTTCAAGGAATGAAAGATCAATACCAGTGTTATTTTTCCATGAATACCAAAGCCCAAAATAGTCGTTTCAAGTACTGAAAATCCTTTTTATTTTTCCAGGAATACCAAAACCAAAAATAGTCGTATCAAGTACTGAGGTCAAAGAAAATGGTAATTTAACATTGAACTGTACCAGTTCTAAATCATCAACTGTGTCTTGGGAAACTTCAGGACTAGCCTCTCATTCTACAACAACTTCAATTGCACACAATGCCAGTTTGGTGTTGTCTTCTATACAGTTACAAGATCATGGATTTAGACTTCAATGTGATAGTAAAAGTCCCATATCAAAATGTAGCGAGAGTTTTATTCTACTTGTACAGCGTAAGTTTACACCATCTTTTTGCCATCATTTGACCAAATATTCTTTTTCGAAAATATATATACCAAATCTTTTTGTTTGAAATATCAGTGCAATATAAGATCTGCCTCGAACATACATCAATATAATATCAAAATAACCATGTGTACGATCTTAATGGAATCAGATTCTGATGTATACTGTCTAGCTTGCGACATCCGTCATATTAACTATTGTAGTGCTTCCATGAAAAAGCTACATGTTATCCGTTATTCAGACTACTAAAAGTGTTCACTAAATTGTAGAAAATTTCCCAGTGAAACAAAATTAGCATGTCCCAGTTGAACAAGGTACCTCCAATACAGTAGTCTTAAGTCTTATTTTATCTCACTTCTTAATGTCTATAGTGTAATGTTTAATCATTTTAAAACTATGATCATGATAGTTGAAATAATACCCTTTTATTTTTCAGATAAACCAATAATAAGGAATTTCGGAGTGAATAAAAACTGCAACGATATTTGTCTGGAATGGGACGTTAGTGGCTGGCCTAAACCTGATATAACTTATTATAAATTGCTGAACAATAAGATTTTAAACATAACCCCAGAAGCTGATTCGGTGCTGATTGAGAATGTAAATCAAGAATGGAGTGGATATTTAACTTTTGATCGGAATATGATAACTAGTGGGGTGTTTATTATAGTAGCTAGTAATAAACATGGAAGCGTTAGTGAGTATATATAATTATCATTATCATTATATCTAAGAATGCCATAAAAACTGTATTGTTGAAGGCATAGCGTTGAAGTGAAGCAATAATCAGAGGAATGGATGTGGAGCATGTTTTCTTTATGGGAAAACTCTTATTGATCATAGGATAAGCCCTACATGGCCCGCTTCATACTATCGTAGAACATAATTAGTGAATTTCATTATGTGTGAAACTTGTTTCATTACATCAATGTAGATAAAGCATGAAAATAGATATGGTAATAGTTGATAACTTGAATTGAATCAATAATGCAATTAACTGGCAATCTACAAAAATAACAGATCGCATGTTCTTCTAGTTAAATAATTAGTTTTTTAAGTTCAATTAATATTTAAGAAGCCAAAGTCCATTGTTAAATTGCTTGGCTTTTGAAATCGATTGTTAATGTATGGAAGCACTTAAGTGACAAATTGAAATTGTACTTTTGAAAAATAGTTGTTTGTGATCATCACATGGTCAAATGATCACAGCGAAATCTTATTCAGTCAAAATACTAATCATTGCGCCAGAAGGATTATGGAAGGTATAGCTCCACCATTTTGTTGTTATGTTGGTATGTTGCCAGCTCCGAATTAGTATTTCGTATTTTTCTACATGTACTATGGAAATGATACTATATGTCTTAAAAAGAAACAGCCAACTTTTACAAGGATAACAACTTCGCGAGGATCGTGTCTACCAATTGGTCATTGATCAAACCCATTTCCAGCTGGGTCGACTGAAATAATGCTGATAGATGACTTATTCAAGATCAAGGTCATGTTAAGATACCAAACGCTGTAGCCGACTATGCTACACTAGACTCATCTCCGTTTCTCAGTTTCAAATGTATTATTTTATATTTACAGACAAATCTACTATATATAATAAAGATGATTTATCTGGTCTAACATTTGATCCTAAAGCCCATATTCGACAGACGGGTCGGACTGGTAAGACAGGGCATACGCAGGTACAGGAACCTGATGATGATATTAACATAGTAAGTTTCACGTATTAACCAGATTATGCACAATTGACCAAATACTTGATTGAATCATATATCCGGCAGTGCGAAAGGGAAACACAGTATAATATAGAGTATGTTGATCTTGTGGTGGTTTGGTTGAAGAATTTAACGGAGTCTTCAATAAACTGATCCAGATACGTTGCCAGATTTGATCGTTCGGAGGGGCAAGTAATATATCCGGAGGAGCAATTGTGTATGTCCTGTCCCTACCACTGTAACTGGCCTAATGAACATGAAGCAATTCGGCTACTAATGATAAATTATGTTGTAGGTATGGCCTATAGCAATCGGAATATCAGTTGTGATAATAACAATGGTAATAGCAGTTGTAATATTCATTAAACGCAGTAAACGCAACAGTTCAGCATCCTCTACGAGAGGCCACACCTTTAAACGTAATGGTATAGTACCACGAGAAGCAGTACCATTAAATTCAATCATGGTAGAGAATCCCAACTATACCAAAAAGTCTTCCAGAAATCGTACTGACTCAGCAGGTAAGGCTCAATGTATGAGGAACTTTTTACTTCAGGGGGATGTTTAAGTTGTAGCATAACCGATTCAGTCAATTGAAATGTGATACCGGTAATCCATCTGGAAATCAATTTGTGTTAAACTTTGATATTTCGCAATGTTTTGTCTGCAATAGATAATTGAAATAGTGTCCTTCTTTAATTGTTACCACTGTGTGTCTCCGTAATCATCAAATATTCAATTATTGAGTCGTGTTTTAATTAGAAGTGTCGAGGGTCGATATAAAACTTCGACTTTTACTAAGGCCACACTTTTCTTATAAGCGCTAAGATATTTCCTTGACACCCACTGAATTATCAAGTACAGTGCACAAGTAAAACAAGAAGAAATGCGATGATAAAGTGTTTGCTGTGTTGGTCATGCTAAATGTTTTATCATGTATGATTTTTGCCTCTTAATTTTAGTGGTGCTTGAATTCATTCATGCACTCTTGAAATTAGTTCCTCGTGGAAGTACGGCAACTTGAATTGAAGTTAAATTTAATTTTCCTTTCTTTTCAGCAATAAGAAATATAGACCTTAAAAACATTACCTTTATAAGAAGCTTAGGTGAAGGAGCGTTCGGTCGAGTGTACCTAGCAACATGCTATGGTTTATTAGCAGAAGATGATGTGACAATGGTGGCCATCAAAATGTTAAAAAATGCCAGCATTGAGTCAATAAAAAAGGATTTTGAAAGAGAAGCTGAATTGTTGACCAATCTACAACATCATCACATTGTCAAATTTTATGGTGTCAGTGTTGATGGTGATGAAATGCTGATGATATTTGAGTATATGATGAATGGTGATCTCAATAATTATATTCGGTAAGTGTTCTGTGCACAGGACTTTGAGCTGTGTGCCAACTTCTGCCACCTAGTATTGTTGCTTGTTCCAACAGCAGCAAGTCATATACCAACAAAGGAAAAATCTGATCATGCCAATCGCTTGTAATAATACATTGTTTAAACATTTCAGCTTGTAAATGTATACCAATACCATTCGCCACCAAACTTGTTGAGTCTCCTAAGACTGGCACCGGAAGGGTTATGATATCCTTCTTCACCAAAAACATCCACACAATGACATTTTCTTTTGTAACATAACATGGCGACATCTAAATTAGATTCTTGTCTCAACTTGTATTTCACAATTTTTGCCAAATTGGTAATCCTTGGAGAACAAGTAAAGAAAAACATTCCATCTTTAGTAACGGACGTCTCATTGTTTGTGAAATATAGGTTCTCAATACAGAAACTAATTACCTTTGCAGTCCATATGATTTTTTTCTGACAACGACACATTTTATATTTTAGGTGCCACGGGCCAGATGCTTCTATTATTTCGTCTAACAGGTCCAATGACTCATCTGGTGAGGAAATACTGATGCCAGCGCAACTCTTACATATATCAAATCAAATAGCTATGGGGATGGAATATCTTGCTTCACAACATTTTGTACACAGAGATTTAGCAACTAGAAATTGTTTAGTTGGTGAGAAGTTGTTAGTGAAGATCGGAGATTTTGGAATGTCGAGAGATATTTATAGTACAGATTATTATCGGGTAAGCCCGACTCCACATTAAATATTGAATATCCTAAAACAATAATTCTGGCCTTACCCAATTTTCCAATATACGTATACCCATGAGATAAGTGAGACATAAGGTTACTATAAAAATAGAATATCAAATGCATCACATGGCAATGGCAACTAGAAAACTTGACCAGTATGCATTCATATCTTCTATCGGTAAAGATGGGATTTTATCTTTTTAAGGTCGGTGGAACCGCCATGTTGCCTATCAGATGGATGCCTCCAGAAAGCATGTTGTATCGAACATTTACCATAGAATCCGATGTATGGAGTTTTGGTGTTGTATTATGGGAAATATTCACATATGGTAAACAACCATGGTATGAACTATCAAACATGGAGGTATACATTCTTCATTAAGATAGTTTTATATATGAAATTAGCTCAATTCAGTATTCCCCTTAAATAAAAGATGTGAGTTAATTCTACATCAAAAATACAATCTTCAGGTCAATCCGGAGGCATGTTTACACCAAAATTCTGCAAAATGTCCTTCGAGGCCTTATGAGACCCTTATGAACATTCCCTTAAAGTATCATAAAAAACTGGTATAAATAATCAGTCTCGAATTCATTTTCTGGTTGTCAATGCTAGTCTCTACTCGCAAGTTTTCCCCATATAACATTGAAAGAGAGTTTAGACATGAAACGACCCATCAATAATGAATTTCGACAACGAGATATTGCAATGTCTGGTATGAAATTTCAACCGATTGGTATCATAAGAAGATTAGAATATTTTGTTGACAAGAATAAATTACTAATCTTTCCATGTATTCATCTGCTTAACAATCATATTTACTTTATTGATGTCCCACTTTTTAAGCCGATTACGGGCCTATTTCTGTCTTCTGTCTCATTATGTAAGCGGTTAGAACCTAAATGACACAATATATTTGTTCATGTCTTCTGTATAGACATTACGTATCACGATAATCATTATACTTATGTTCGGATTACGATTTGACTTAAATCCATCCCTCATTGTATAGTCAGTTCGTTGAAACTGCTCTAAAAGAACATTTTCAGTTCCAATTTTAATCTGTAGCTAAAAATTTGGAAACACGACATCGTGTCCTGTCACATAATTCAAAGAAAATGTACATCATGGAAGATATATAGATGGGTGGAGACGTAATAACAATAAGAAAGAATGCTACAAACGAACACTAGATATAATACCAGACAATCCAACCATGTGATAAATGATTTTTAAGGAGATGATTTATATTTAAATTTCAGGTTATTCAATATATAAAGAACGGCCATATTTTAGAAAGACCACGTGATTGTCCAGAGGAAGTGTATAAAGTGATGTTATGTTGTTGGAAAACTCAGCCACACGATCGAATGCCAATGAAAGAGATACACAGACATTTAGACAGTTTATGCCTCTCACAACCAAATTATATTGATGTCATTGCTTAAAACCCTCAGTCGGAATGGCAAATCAAATGGTTTGAGATATGTGTGCTAGACGGATTAAGTTTTCAAAGCCTTTTCTTTTTATGTAACGCATAGGAAAATAGCGCTCGAGAAGTAGTTGAAGTAAGGTAACCTGTTTTCAAGGAGACTAAAAATTTGTGATAAAAATGATATACTGAAAGAAGATAGAATAAAGTTGAAATTAGTCTAAGAACTGACGAAACACGGTGAATAAATTTGAAGTAGTACTTAGGCTCTGTGTATCATTTTATTGCCCTAATGCATAGTATACGTTTTAGAGGCATTTGAATATTTAGCGATAACTCTACCAATATTCAAATTTTGCTATTTTTGCTTTCGCTTGTTGATATTTCACATTCGGGTATAAACATCGAACTTCAGCATCAGGGTAGTATAGTCGTCTAAATATTTGCTTAAAATATCAATTTTCAGAATATCAATCCGACTTCTGGTTCCCTTGCAATCGAATGAAACGTAGTATTGACAGTTCAGATTGGAAAATTATAACGTCAACGTTCGAGATTATAAAATATATATATATATTCTGAATTTTATGCTTTTTTCCTAACATGCGTCGGATTTAAATACCAAATGATACATTTAGCTGAAATTGAGCATTATCACTGAAAAACTAATACTTAGACAATAAAGACATAAAATATTATTAAGATATGTTAACGTTTCAAACATTCCAGACCATATTCAATATAAATCCACATCTAATACCCGAGTTATATATTTTTATAAGTATTTGTATTTCACAGGGATATTAATATCTCAACAAAATAAATCATTGTTAACTTGTTGTTCTGTATTTGACTTGTCTTGGGCCTAACGAGCAGCTAAATTGTTGATTACTTCAGTCTTGTTTGTTTACATACACTGTATTATATATTTTGTAAATAAACTTGTTAAAATTTAACTGTAAATGTTTGTTACTGCAGTGTTAGAGAAAGATAAACAAACCAGTGCTCAAAACTGCTCTCCCAAAGGAATCTTAATACCATATTGTGCCATGTTTCAAGTTTATACAACCTGCTATATTCTTACATAAATGTATTTTGCTATTCATATATATTTAGTTAAATATATATATATCAACGATCGTGACCATGATAATTCGAATCTTTCTAAATAGAAATATATTTTCAATCTAATGAGTCAAATGTTTTGTTCATTGTCGGATGATCGATTTGTCTATGACCTGACTAATATCTTATTGATGATAAATGGTGTCATAGAAACCCTGACATCTAACATGTTCAAATCAACTACCAGGTTCGCAATGTGGCGCTCGATTGGAGACTTCTGAACAGGTTCCGTCAATTCCAATTCTGACGTCAATCGAACGGCACGGGAGCGGATATGTCACATTTAACATTTTCCGATCTATTTCCTTTCCGCCATTTTGAATTTTTCTTCGAACTTACTATTTTTTGGCACACGTGGAACAAGTTCTGAACTATATTCCAACTTGTTTTATTGAACGTTATGTTGATTCCATAAATCCCGAACGTGCAGAACTCATCAATCGAGCGATCGCATACAGTACGGGAGGCAACTGTGTTATAACGCCACATGGACTATGATCACCAAACCGATCAAACGTCCGTGAACACCATTCCATAAGTTATGTTGACCTCTTACTCGGATCCCTTCAAAGCAAGAGAACTTTCATGTATCTTCTATGTCAATATAAGAATATTAAACCATTAACCAAATATCAAAAGTAGAAAGGAAAACAGAAAAAAGTAAGTTTAAGAAAAGATTATTGAGATTAAGTTATAGATTGGCGAATTTTGACGAAAATGACTTGCATATAAGTAACGTTTTTAATAACAAAAGTGGCAAAAAATATCAAGTAATGTTTTCCAAAATATTAAAATTAATTTTGTGTATCAAGGGGATGACTTGTTCTAAATGTAATCTAGCCTTTATCAAGACTTTCGTTGTCTATACACAGTACCCTCGTATCAAATTCGGGACTAGAATGCTACAGCTCACGGAAACTAACGAACATTGGCGAAGGTTGAGCCGGCGAAGGTTGAGCCGAATGTGGTCAATTTCTATGAAAGATGTAGACACATGTCAATCTCGAATATTTTTAGAATGAGTTAATACAATATGACGCTTCATATCCTTGACAAAAATATCATGACTGTATATTGCTAAAACGAATACCTGGTAAAAACATTCTTTATATAATCTTTAGAACAATAAAAAGTTAAAAATCAACATCAATAAAAACAACAATAAAAATCTGATTAAAATAGTCTTTTAAACTACAAGTTGAGCAAAACAAGTTTAAAATCAAACGACTACTTGAGCCGTTTAATGGTATTGAGTTTACATTCAATTCAATAAAAGCATGTATTTGAGGTAAACACGTACTAACCTCTGCATTTCGTTCCAGACAAATTACATTTAATGTTTTAATAAGTAATGTTTATGTATTCATTGACACGTTCTCTTCAACGGTGGCCTATGTGAACTCGACATTCCAATTAGTACTAGTATATTATTTCCCTTTCAACTGCTAAAAGCCAAATTGTAAATCTAATATACAGTGATGCCTCAAACAAATTAAAACACAACAAGACACACTTTTCAGAGTTATGTCTATGTAAACGCTTTAATTGTGTTTTAGGTCAGAAGTCTAAGGTCAAGTCGAGTTACCACATGTTTTGTTTTATTGCGCATATTTATGAAAAATTAAAAGAGTAAAAAAAATCATAAAAAACAATAAAACTTTGGTATTTAACAAGATATGTTGTTTTGAAAACACTAATTATGAAAACATGTATATGGTTAAAACATTCTCGTTGCTTTAAGTAATATGCAAGAGATCGCGAGAGAATTGGAATGTAATTGTACTTCTGAATAATCAATAGCATAATATAAGCTTATCCATTCATTTCAAAGGAAACTTCACATTGTGAATCTCTTAGGTAAATTATGATTTACTTAGTCTGGTGGAGTCAAAATGTGTGTAATTCCATTCGACAAGAAAATTTTAATTTCGCCAATCCGGGGAGACAACAATTGCCATATACTTTTGTATGAAATTGACAACAGAACAAATGAAAACAATAATACTATTGATATTTAAATTAAAGACTTCGTTGGATGATAAAAATGAGCCTTTGTCGTTACAACTGCATAATTCATATTGCCTATTTGCATGTCAACACTCCACGCTATAGTCCACACTCTCGGTACCCAATCTTGACAAACGACGATATGGAGCCATGATAAGTTGAAGTTGAAATTCAAATGATTTGGTTAATGCAATAAAAAGTTAGCTGTAATCTCTTAAATTTTATAAAATCCTATGAACAGGCAGGCACAATTTAACTACAGAAGTATAAGTCACCATTCGTCGGATTGAATTCATGTCGCTGTTCCTTCGCCATCCAACACCTGAAGAGTAGGAGGTAATACTCCATTCATTTCATTTTTGCAATCCAACCCGTTTGGTAAGAGATAAGCTGAAGGCTGAAATCTAAGAATTGCTACTTGTTTCTTAAGTTAGACGCTAAGAAACTTCACAAAAAGATGGCGAACATGGTTTTTCAGCTTGTAGATTAGCTTTTCGTCGAATTGATTCTGAAATGGAAATATAAAGTTGATAAATCATGTGACAAGGAACAAGCAAATTTAATCAGAAAATTCAATACACGTAATTGATTGACCTGTATAGTGATATGAAGTATTCATTACATCTATATATAAATTATAAACATGACAAGTCCGGTATCATATAATGGGATACAAACATAATCTGGTCGTGATATTTAATAACTTATAACAGGAGTAATTATTACATAGTATCACTTATGAATGCCAATAATGCAATAACAGTCATCTGCAGTTATTGACTGCAATAACTACCTTTCTTATGTTTGTAAATGCAGCCATTGGATTGTATTGTAGCCTACAAAGGAACACGAGGAACCTCAACAGAGAGTCTGTAAACAGGCTACATTGGCTATATTCGCTAGCGTACACGAAAGGTGGCTATAACAGTAAAGGTATAAGATGAAGTCCGTAATAGCTTGTAATTTTGAAGATGTAAGACAGTAGCAAGGGTATTTTAACTGGTTTTTATGTACGATCTTGCAAGCACATTTTAAATAAGTATTCGCCACCGTCAAATGCAATTATCCAAATTCAAGCGGCTATGAAACCTTGGTAGAAGCAAATGGACATCCCACCTGCTAATTGTCTTCTGTCTATTCCAACTAAGGCTTCGAATAATTTTTTCATCACATTTTCATCTTTCCTGATACCATGTAACCATATCATCAGCAATCTATAACCATGTTCCTTGTAAGAGTTTGTACCCGTATATTGATGTTCGATAGCACGGATATGTTCGCCCGTAAAGTTCCAATGAACAGCAAGTTTTTTCCAGTCCGTTGATTTGAGATGTTTGGTTGCTAATTTCCACATAACATCTTTCATCTGGAGTGCGGACGGATGTACTGGTCTTCTTAAATACAGATGAGGATCGACATAGCCCAAATCACTGTCATGGTAATCCTGGAGAACAAATAGAAAAGATAAAAATTCAAGAGTTGGATGACGTATAAATCGGGTCTAAACCGCAATACATGTACTCAGATTTCAAAGAGTACATTGTATAAAGGAGGGAACAGGTTATATTGTTGGTCCTTTGGGATTTACAATCGCTTCAGGGTGCAACAGGCTTAAAACTCATCCATTATGATAAATTTGACATTTATTCTGAAAATTTATTCTTAAATTACACATACCCTGGCTATGGCATAATATCTTTCAGCTTTGATAATCATGTCTACTATTGAAACAAAACTACCACGACTGGCTAATTGAAGAGGCGTTTTACCAGTCTGAAATAAAAATCATAATTATTCTTAAGGTCTTCATAATCCATGATAAGATACAACGGCACTTAAAGATATTTAGTGTCAAATTAAGCAAACTATTTGGTTATTTCTTTG